TTCTCCACCCCTTCCAATTGCTGCCTGTCTATTCCTGGAGTGTAGTCCTGGTCCCTACTGATCCTATACTGGTCTCTATATAATGGCTCATATAGCACTTTACATTGTAGGACGGAGCTCTAGCTGTACATTGGGTTGATCCTAGTTAATCTTTCCCAGGCTGGCTTTGTCCGATGCTCCTGTGTGTGCTGTATATACGATATGTATGTGATTCCGGTGCGTGGGCGCCATCCGCTGTACACATTTGGTATTACATCTGAGTCTTGAGCTATATTCCGTAGACAATGTTTCTTTTGCATAGCGGAGTATATATACATTGTGGTTACATTGTTTTGTGTGCTCCATCACATCCCATTAGTGGTCACACAAGGCAGATGAGATTTCAGGAAGCTGACCTGCGGCTGGACTTGTATGATTGCGGTTTCTTCTTTCTCTCTTCTCTTTTCTTACGTCAGCGGCCTGTGAAACAAGCGGCTCATTACGGGCTGATCGATCCTTCTTGTTACATGAGCGCTTCTATCCCAGAGATCCGGGTGCAGCTGTGCCGTGTTTGTCATATGATATGGGTGGCTGGGGCACGATGTAAAACCTCCACCAAATTCTTACTTTGTTTAAAGGAGAACTCCAACCATGCGGCTAAATGTATCTTTGAAATGCACATGCGTGGCAAATTATTTGTAATTTTTATTTACCTCTCTGAGAGTTTATACTTCTCAAACACACTATATAGACAGAGGGTGACAACACTATTCAGAGCCTGCAGCAATGCCACTCCCTCCTTCCCCCCACCTGAAATGATTTGTATTTTGTTTGTTACAACAGTGCGTGATGGATGGGAATCCAAATGTGACACGGCAGGAAGGTCTCCTACTAGGTACATATTCAGCTCGGTTGCCTTTCCACGTGGCTTTTTGTGGCTCTCTCCTCCTGTGGTGATGCTGGTGGCTCAGTCCCCCCCTCCCCCCCCCTCCACCATACAGCCATAGTGTGTGCAGATTCCCTTTAGTAAAACTAGTGGTTCGGCACTCCTTTCATCCTGGGTGTTTAGTCCTTCTCTGCGCATATTGTGGTTTGGTTCTCCTCTAGTAATATTGGGAATTATGTTCTCTTCACCAGGGGAGGGGGGGGGGGGGGGGGGCGTTGGTCCTTCTCTATCGATGTTTTGATTCAGTTCTTCTTCAATATTATTGGTAGTTCAGTCTCCTTAGGACAATATTACGGTTAATTTCTCCTCTAGAAAATTGTGGTTCGGTTCTCATTGTGTCGTACTTTATGTTCCACCTATGCAAAGATTTGGTACCATCCCCACAAGCAATATCAGTAGCTTAATCCCTCTCCGGCAGTAATGTGGTCCATTTCCTAGTACTAGCATTATGTGAGATTTGGTTCTCCTCCATCTATATTCATAGTTCAGTCCTCCTCTAGTGATATTGTAGTTCTGTTCTCCTCCATATTGGTGGTTCAGTCCTCGTCTAGTGACATTGTTCTTTTTCATTAGTGTTGGTGGTTCAGTCCTCCTAGTGATATTGTGGTTCTGTTCTCCTCCATCAATATTGGTGGTTCAGTCCTCGCCTAGTGACATTGTTCTTCATTAGTATTGGTGGTTCAGTCCTCCTCTAGTGATATTGTGGTTCTGTTCTCCTCCATCAATATTGGTGGTTCAGTCCTCGTCTAGTGACATTGTTCTTCTTCTTCATTAGTATTGGTGGTTCAGTCCTCGTTTAGTGCCATTTATTGTTCTCCTCCTTCCATATTGGTGGTTCAGTCCTTGTCTAGTGATATTGTAGTTCTGTTCTCCTCCATCTATATTGATATTGGTGGTTTAGTCCTTGTCTAGTGACATTGTTCTTCTTCATTAGTATTGGTGGTTCAATCCTCATCTAGTGACATTGTTCTTCTTCTGCACTAGTGTTGGTGGTTCAGTCCTTCTCTAGAGATATTGAAGTTCTGCTCTCCTTCATCCATATTGGTGGTTCAGTCCTCCTCTAGTGATATTGTAGTTCTGTTCTCCTCGATCCACATTGGTGGTTCAGTCCTCGTTTAGTTACATTGTTCTCCTCCATCCATATTGGGGGTTCAGTCCTCGTCTAGTGAAATTGTTGTTCTCCTCCATCCATATTGGGGGTTCTGTCCTTGCCTAGTGACATTATTGTTCTTCATTAGTATTGGAGGTTCAGTCCTCCTATAGTGATATTGTGGTTCTCTTCTCCATCCATGTTGGTGGTTCAGTCCTCGTCTAGTGACATTGTTCCTCTTCACTAGTATTGGTGGTTCAGTCCTTCTCTAGAGATATTGAAGTTCTGCTCTTCTCCATCAATATTGGTGGTTTAGTCCTTGTCAGGTAACATTGTTCTTCTTCATTAATATTGGTGGTTCAGTCCTTCTCCAGAAATATTGTAGTTAGTTCACCTCCTTCAATATTGTTGATTTGGTCCTTTTCTATACATATAATAGCCATGTTCCCCTCTATCAAACTTGACGGTTTAGTCCTCCTCTAGTGATATTGTGGTTCAGTCCATCTATATTGGTTGTTCAGTCCTCCTCTAGATACGTAATATTCCTGTTCTTCTCCATCCATATTGGTGGTTCATTCTCCATATAGAAACATTGTAGTTCTGTTTTTCTCCATCCAGTATTGGTTGTTTGGTCCTCCTCTGGACATATTGCAGTTTTTGTTCTCATCCATTATTATTGGCAGTTCATTGCTCCTCTAGACGTATCATAATTCTTTTCTTGTCCATTATTATTATTGATTTCTCCTCCTCTAGACATTATGTAGTTCTGTTCTTCTCCATTGATATTGGTGGTTTGGTCCTCCTCTATACATATAATTGTTCTGTTCTCTTCTATCAGACTTGGTGGTTCAGTCCTCCTCTAGTGATATCGTAAGTTTGTTCTCTTCTATCAGTATTGGTGGTTTAGTCCTCTAGTAATGTTGTTGTTCTGTTTTCCTCCATCTGTGTTGGTGGTTCAGTCCTCTTCTAGTGATGTTGTTCCTCTTCTTCATTAGGAACGATGGTTCATTCCTCTTGTAGTGACATTGTAGTTCTGTTTTCCTTCATCAATATTGGTGACTTGGCCCTCCTCTAGACATACTATAGTTCTGTTCTTCATTTATTTGGTGATTTGGTCCTCCTATAGTGATATTGTAGTTCTATTCTCCTCCATCAATATTGGTCATTTAGTCCTCCTTTAAACATATATTATTTATTTTCTTTTCCATGGATATTGTTAGTTTTCTCCTCCTCTACACATATAATAGTCATGTTCTCCTCTATCAAACTTGGTGGTTTAACACCCCTCTAGTGATATTGTAGTTCTGTTCTCCTCCAGCAATATTGGTGGTTTAGTCCTCCTCTGGACATATTGTAGTTCTGTTCTCCTACAGCAATATTGGTGGTTTAGTCCTCCTCTAGACATATTGTAGTTCTGTTCTCCTCAGCAATATTGGTGGTTCAGTCCTCCTCTGGACATATTGTAGTTCTGTTCTCCTCCAGCAATATTGGTGGTTCAGTCCTCCTCTGGACATATTGTAGTTCTGTTCTCATCCATTATTATTGGTGGTTCAGTCCTCCTCTAGACATATCTTAATTCTTTTCTTCTGTGCTATTATTGTTGGTTCAGTCCTCCTGTAATCATATATAGTTCTGTTCTCCTCCATCAATACTGATTCAGCACCTGTCTAGGCATATTTTAGTTCTGTTCTTCTCCATTTATCTTGATGGTTTGATCCACCTCTAGAAATTGTGTGTTTCTGATCTTCTCTATCAATATTGGTGGTTTTATTCTTTCTCTAGACGTATTTTAGTTCTGTTCTTCTCCGTTTATCTTGATGGTTTAGTCTTCCTCTAGCGATATTGTGGTTCTAATTTCCTCCATCGATATTGGTGGTTCAGTCCTCCTCAAGATATATTGGGGGTTATTTACTAAAACTGCATGGTGCAAATTCTGTTTCAGCTCTGCATAGAAATCAATCAGCTTCCAGGTTTTCTTGCCAAAGCTTAATTGCACATGCTGAAGATGGAGGCTGATTGGCTACCATGCACCAGTTTTATTATATCTCCACCCATTGTAGTTTTGTTCTCCATTCATCTTGGTGGTTTGGTCTTTCTCTAGCGATATTGTAGTTCTGTTCTCCATTTATTTTGGTGGTTTGGTCTTCCTCTAGCGATATTGTGGTTCTGTTCTCCATTTATTTTGGTGGTTTGGTCTTCCTCTAGCGATATTGTAGTTCTGTTCTCCATTTATTTTGGTGGTTTGGTCTTCCTGTAGCAATATTGTGGTTCTGATCTCCATTTATTTTTGGTGGTTTGGTCTTCCTCTAGCGATATTGTGGTTCTGTTCTCCATTTATTTTGGTGGTTTGGTCTTCCTGTAGCAATATTGTGGTTCTGTTCTCCATTTATTTGGTGGTTTGGTCTTCCTCTAGCGATTATTGTAGTTTTGTTCTCCATTTATTTTGGTGGTTTGGTCTTCCTCTAGCGATTATTGTAGTTCTGTTCTCCATCTATCCTGATGGTTTGGTCTTCCTCTAGCGATTATTGTGTTCTGATCTCCATTTATCTTGGTGGTTTGGTCTTCCTCTAGCGATATTGTAGTTTCTGTTCTCCATCTATCCTGATGGTTTTTGGTCTTCCTCTAGTGATTATTGTGGTTCTGTTCTCCATCTATCTCTGTTCTCCATCTATCTGATGGTTTGGTCTTCCTCTAGTGATTATTGTAGTTCTGTTCTCTATCTATCCTGATGGTTTGGTCTTCCTCTAGTGATTATTGTAGTTCTGTTCTCCATTTATCTTGGTGGTTTGGTCTTCCTCTAGCGATTATTGTGGTTCTGATCTCCTCCCTCAATATTGGTGGTTCAGTCCTCCTCTAGTGATATTGAAGAGATATGTATTGGAGTTTAGTTCTCTTCTAGTGCTAATAGTTGTCCTCTTCTCCTCCTCCTAGAGGCCTTAATTAAGTCAAGTACCCCACTGACTATATTCTTGGTTTCCCCTGCAGGCTCTGGACTGGATTCAGGAGACGGGGGAGCACTTCCTCTCTACACACACATCTACTGGGGAGAGTCTGGACCAAACGCAGAGCCTACTGAAGGAATATGAGGACTTCCGTATTCCTGCCAAGGTAAACGACCTCCCAAGCGCACAGCATGTTAATAAAGGACAATTTCCGCCCAAGATTTTTCATTATCCATCCCAGTCTCCCGAATATTTTAATTAATGCCACAAGTCCGGACCTCATGCCAAACACTAATTGGGTCACATTCCTCCTTGTGACATGAATGATTCCATCTGGTTCCCAAAACACTGACCCATTCTTCATTGTCTTCTGCTTTAGAAGTTGTTCATTTCTTTCCTGGTGTTGTCACTTGTACCTGTCGGTGGGCCACACACACGTCCTCCACCCCCCGACCCCTCCGGCCGTCTACACACGTCCTCCACCCCGACCCCTCCGGCCGTCTACACACGTCCTCCACACATCCTCCACCCCGACCCCTCCGGCCGTCTACACACGTCCTCCACCCCGACCCCCTCCGGCCGTCTACACACGTCCTCACCCCGACGTCCTCTACACCCCCAGACCCCCCTCCGGCCGTCTACACACGTCCTCCACCCCGACCCCTCCGGCCGTCTACACACGTCCTCCACCCCGACCCCTCCGGCCGTCTACACACGTCCTCCACCCCCGGTCACCCCGACCCCTCCGGCCGTCTACACACGTCCTCCACCCCGACCCCTCCGGCCGTCTACACACGTCCTCCACCCCGACCCCTCTCCGGCCGTCTACACACGTCCTCCACCCCGACCCCTCCGGCCGTCTACACACGTCCTCCACCCCGACCCCTCCGGCCGTCTACACACGTCCTCCACCCCGACCCCTTCCGGCCGTCTACACACGTCCTCCACCCCCCGACCCCCTCCGGCCGTCTAACACACGTCCTCCCACCCCGACCCCTCCGGCCGTCTACACAACGTCCTCCACCCTGACCCCTCCGGCCGTCTACACACGTCCTCCACCCCGACCCCTCCGGCCGTCCGTCTACACACGTCCTCCACCCCCCACCCCCCTCCGGCCGTCTACACACGTCCTCCACCCGACCCCTCCGGCCGTCTACAACACGTCTACACACGTCCTCCACCCCGACCCCTCCGGCCGTCTACACACGTCCTCCACCCCGACCCCTCCCTCCGGCCCGTCTACACACGTCTCCCACACGTCCTCCACCACCCGACCCCCCCGGCCGTCTACACACGTCCTCCACCCCGACCCCTCCGGCCGTCTACACACGTCCTCCACCCCGACCCCTCCCCGTGCCGTCTACACACGTCCTCCACCCCGACCCCTCCGGCCGTCTACACACGTCCTCCACCCCGACCCCTCCGGCCGTCTACACACGTCCTCCACCCTGACCCCCTCTGGCCGTCTCTCCGCTCTGCGATGTTCCCTCAAGTCTCCCGTAATGATTTCTGGCAATGTCAAACACGGAGAACGTCCCGGAGTCACGAGCGGCTGACAGCACAGACTTGTCCTTTCCGTTCTCTCTGAAGAGTTGCAGAGAATATTGCCGAGGTCAGTGTGACCTCTTCAGTCAACTGGGGCTCTCCGGCCTCTCAGACACGGGGGGGGGGGGGGGGAGAGTAATGATGGCCGCGCGCCAGGGAGCGTCAGGCATCAAACTACCATCGCTCAACAGATCTTCCACGCTTCCCGTGGAGAGCTGAACATCAGAAATGGGCTTTAGAATTCTTTGCACGTTCTGTAATGCTTCACTTCTGAGGCTGCTGTGACCTGCATTGTGTATATCAGGGGGGCTGAAACCAAAATTCATGGAAGCCCCCCCCCCATACATCCGTATCTTCAGTCTACTCCTCACATCATGCCCCCCTTTTTCATCACAGCCCCCCCCCCCCATACATCCACATCTTCAGCCTACCCCTCTTCACATCATGCCCCCTTTTCATCACAGCCCCCCCCCCCCATACATCCATATCTTCAGTCTACTTCTCACATCACGTCCCCCTTTTCATCATAGCCCCCCCCCCCATACATCCCTATCTTCAGCTACCCCCCTTCGCACATCATGCCCCCCTTTTCATCACAGCCCCCCCCCATACATCTGTATCTTCAGCCTACCCCTCTCATCACATCCCCCTTTTCATCACAGCCCCCCCATACATAAATATCTACAGCCTACCCCTCTCATCAGGTCCCCCTTGTCATCATAGCCCCCCCCCCCCCATACATCCGTATCTTCAGCCTACCCCTCACATCAGGTCCCCCTTGTCATCATAATCAGCCCCCCCCCCCCATACATCCGTTATCTTCAGCCTACCCCTCACATCAGGTCCCCCTTTTCCTCACATAGCCCCCCCCCCATACATCCGTATCTTCAGCCTACCCCTCACATTACGTCCCCCATTTCCTCACAGCCCCCCCCCATACATCCGTATCTTCAGTCAACTCCTACTCCTCACATCACGTCCCCTTTTCCTCACAGCCCCCCCCCCCACCCCCTTTCATACATAAGTATCTACAGCCTACCCTCTCATCAGGTCCCCCTTGTCATCATAGCCCCCCCCATACATCCGTATCTTCAGCCCATGCACCTCACATCAGGTCCCCCTTTCCCACAGCCTCGGACCCCCCCCCCCCCATCACAAAGTCTGTATCTTCACAGTCTACCCCTTCCACATCAGTGTCCCCTTTTCATCACAGTGCCCATCACACAGTATCCTCAGCCCCCTTTAACATCACAGTCCCCCCCCCCCTTTCAAATCCGTGTCCTCACCTCTCCCCCCCCCCTTTCACATCAAAAGGTCGCCTGCAGCAGATTGCCCACCTTGTGCGTCAGGAATCATGTGCATGGAATGCGAGTTTCCTGCACCGCGTTCTCATTTACAGGAGCCCTTAGATCAGACCCCTTCACATCACAGTCCCATCGTGTCCTCAGTCCCCCTTCACACCACAGTCCCATAGTGTTCTCGGACCCCCTTCACATCACAGTCCCATAGTGTCCTCGGACCCCCTTCACACCACAGTCCCGGACCCCCTAGTGTGTCCTCAGACCCCCTTCACATCACAGTCCCATAGTGTCCTCGGACCCCCTTCACATCACAGTCCCATAGTGTCCTCGGACCCCCTTCACATCACAGTCCCATAGTGTCCTCGGACCCCCTTCACATCACAGTCCCATAGTGTCCTCGGACCCCCTTCACACCACAGTCCCATAGTCCTCGTCCTCGGACCCCCTTCACATCACAGTCCCATAGTGTCCTCGGACCCCCTTCACATCACAGTCCCATAGTGTCCTCGGACCCCCTTCACATCACAGTCCCATAGTGTCCTCGGACCCCCTTCACATCACAGTCCCATAGTGTCCTCGGACCCCCTTCACATCACAGTCCCATAGTGTCCTCGGACCAGTCCCATAGTGTCCTCGGACCCCCTTCACATCACAGTCCCATAGTGTCCTCGGACCCCCTTCACATCACAGTCCCATAGTGTCCTCGGACCCCCTTCACATCACAGTCCCATAGTGTCCTCGGACCCCCTTCACATCACAGTCCCATAGTGTCCTCGGACCCCCCTTCACATCCACAGTCCCGGACCCCCTTCACATAGTGTGTCCTCGGACCCCCTTCACATCACAGTCCCATAGTGTCCTCGGACCCCCACATTCACACATCACCCAGTCCTCGGACCCCCTTCATCGTGTCCTCAGACCTTTTTCACATCACAGTCCCATAATGTCCTCGGACCCCCTTCACATCACAGTCCCATAGTGTCCTCGGACCCCCTTCACATCACAGTCCCCCTTCATCACAGTCCCATAGTGTCCTCAGACCTTCTTCACATCACAGTCCCATAGTGTCCTCGGACCCCCTTCACATCACAGTCCCATAGTGTCCTCGGACCCCCTTCACATCACAGTCCCATAGTGTCCTCGGACCCCCTTCACATCACAGTCTCATAGTGTCCTCGGACCCCCTTCACATCACAGTCCCATAGTGTCCTCGGACCCCCTTCACATCACAGTCCCATAGTGTCCTCGGACCCCCTTCACATTACAGTCCCATCGTGTCCTCACACCCCCTTCACATCACAGTCCCATAGTGTCCTCGGACCCCCTTCACATCACAGTCCCATAATGTCCTCGGACCCCCTTCACATCACAGTCCCATAGTGTCCTCGGACCCCCTTCACATCATAGCCCCCCCATCACTGCCCCCCTTGCAGTCATAGCTCCCCCCCCTCTCTTTTACATCACAACCCCCGCTCCTTTAAATCAAAGTCCCCCTTTCAATCACAACCTCCCCTGCACAGTCCTACCTAACCAAAGCTGGCCAGAGGCACTCATCAGCCTGGGTGTCCTTTCTCGGGTCCCTTCCCGTCGCCGTTGTCATCCTCACAGCAGGGAGGGGGGGCTGGTCTGGGCGGAGGGCGGGAACTGCCCACCCTGTTATGTCAGTCTGCCCCACCTTACTGTACATTGTAACTTTGTAGAAGGAGTCCTTTCCTCAGTCTCCCCTCCCCCAGTGATCAGACTGTACATTGTAACTTTGTAGAAGAAGAAGGCGGCATTTCCTCAGTCTCCTCCCCCAGTGATCAGACTGTACATTGTAACTTTGTAGAAGGAGGAGGAGGCATTTCCTCAGTCTCCCCTCCCCCAGTGATCAGACTGTACATTGTAACTTTGTAGAAGGAGGAGGCGGCATTTCCTCAGTCTCCTCCCCCAGAGATCTGACTGTACATTGTAACTTTGTAGAAGGAGGAGGAGGCATTTCCACAGTCTCCCCTCCCCCAGTGATCAGACTGTACATTGTAACTTCGTAGCAAGTCACAAGGTGAGAGGCTACAGCAGGGGCTGATCTGTGTCAGAAATTTGTGAACACAGTCTTACATGTATGTGATGACAGGTCCTCTTTAGGCGTGGCTGCAGCATCAGGCAATGGCCAGGATAATGATTTTTCTGATTTTTGTCTTTCTCTCTCTGACAGCAAACCAAGGAGAAGGTGCGCCTCCTGATCCAGCTGGCGGACAGCTTTGTGGAGAAGGGCCACGTCCACGCCACCGAGCTGAAGAAATGGGTGACCACTGTGAACAAGCATTACCGCGACTTCTCCCTGCGGATGGGGAAGTACCAGTGTTCCCTGCAGAGGGCGCTGGGGATCGGCACTGAGGTATGGGACGCAGCGCCCTCCAGTGTACAATCCTGCGTACTGAACCGTGTGACCGCTGAGCTCCCCGCCATGTGACCGCTGAGCTCCCCGCCATGTGACCGCTGAGCTCCCCGCCATGTGACCGCTGAGCTCCCCGCCATGTGACCGCTGAGCTCCCCGCCATGTGACCGCTGAGCTCCCCGCCATGTGACCGCTGAGCTCCCCGCCATGTGACCGCTGAGCTCCCCCGCCATGTGACCGCTGAGCTCCCCGCCATGTGACCGCTGAGCTCCCCGCCATGTGACCGCTGAGCGCCCCGCCATGTGACCCCTGAGCGCCCCGCTATGGTGACCGCTGAGCTCCCCGCCATGTGACCGCTGAGCTCCCCGCCATGTGACCCCTGAGCTCTCCGCCATGTGACCGCTGAGCTCCCCGTCATGTGACCGCTGAGCTCCCCGTCATGTGACCGCTGAGCTCCCCGCCATGTGACCGCTGAGCTCCCCGCCATGGCGACTCCTGAGTGCCCCGCCATGTTGACCCCTGAGCTCTCCAATATTGGCTCATTGCACGCCCTGGATTAGGCCACGTTGGAGATTCAAAGCGCTTTGGCAGCACATTGGGCAGTCCCAGTCCTCCGTCTCATCCATCTGCCCCATCCATCCGCCCCATCCATTTTCTCCATCCCTCCTCCCCATCCAATCCACCCCATCCCTCCTCCCCATCCAATCCACCCCATCCCTCCGCCGCATCCAATCCACCCCATCCATCCGCCCCATCCCTCCGCCACATCCAATCCACCCAATCCAATCCACCCCATCCATCCGCCCCATCTCTCCTCCCCAACCAATCCACTCCATCCCTCCCCCCCAACCAATCCACCCCATTCCTCCTCCCCAACCAATCCACCCCATCCCTCCACCCCATCCATCCAACGATGTGACTGATGGGTTTCATACACACTGGAGAGGCTGACATGGAAAACATCGTTACAATTCTAGATGTCAGAGCAACGAACAGAAAACACAACGCAACCAAACAGACATTTATTGTGACGGGTCTCCATCTAGAACAGGGGTCTCCACTAGAACAGGGGGTCTCCATCTAGAACAGGGGGTCTCCATCTAGAACGGGGGGTCTCCATTTAGAACAGGGGGTCTCCACTAGAACAGGGGGTCTCCACTAGAACAGGGGGTCTCCACCTAGAACAGGGGGTCTCCATCTAGAACAGGGGGTCTCCATCTAGAACAGGGGGTCTCCATCTAGAACGGGGGGGTCTCCATTTAGAACAGGGGGTCTCCACTAGAACAGGGGGTCTCCATCTAGAACAGGGGGTCTCCATCTAGAACGGGGGGGTCTCCATCTAGAACGGGGGGGTCTCCATCTAGAACGGGGGGGTCTCCATCTAGAACGGGGGGGTCTCCATTTAGAACAGGGGGTCTCCATCTAGAACGGGGGGGTCTCCATTTAGAACAGGGGGTCTCCATCTAGAACAGGGGGTCTCCATCTAGAACAGGGGGTCTCCATCTACAACAGGGGGTCTCCATCTAGAACAGGGGGTCTCCATCTAGAACAGGGGGTCTCCATCTAGAACAGGGGGTCTCCATCTAGAACAGGGGGTCTCCATCTAGAACAGGGGGTCTCCATCTACAACAGGGTTATCCAAACTGCGGCCCGTGGGCCACATCCAGCCCACTACAAGGTTTTATCTGGCCCTCTGCTGATGTGCACAGATGGGGACCCTGATGTAAGGGGGACTGTGATGGGGACCCTGATGTAAGGGGGACTGTGATGGGGACCCTGATGTAAGGGGGACTGTGATGGGGACCCTGATGTAAGGGGGACTGTGATGGGGACCCCGATGTAAGGGGACTGTGATGGGGCCCCCGATGTAAGGGGACTGTGATGGGGACCCTGATGTAATTGATGTAAATGGGGAGTCTGACAGGGACACTGATGGTAAGGGGGGACTCTGTTGTAAGGGGGACTTTGACGGGGATCCTAATGTATGGGGGGACTCCGATGGGACCCTGATAAGGTGGAGGGAGCCTTTGGGAGCGAGGAGTGAGGTGTTATTACACCTTATTTCTCTAACCTTGGTGGGGGAGGGGGGGTGGTACTGCCAGGGGTTTTTTTTGTGTGCCCGGAGTGGGTCTTTAAAGTCTGTCAGGGGTAAAATAAAATGAAAGATCTATCCTGTCACCTGCAGAGTCTCACAATTCCCTATATTGCCCTTAATGCTGCCAATACAGAAATATCGCCAGTGATCCAGTGACCTCCCGACTTCCTGTACTGAGCTGACAACACGCATCCTCCGCTCTACTGAAATCCTAAGAGGTGTTGTCAGCCCCGCCTACTTCTTGCTGGACTGCAGAACCCCACCCCCTTACATTATAGAGATGGTGATAGGGGGAGGTGTTCTGTAGTCCAGCAGGGGAGATCCAGGCACCGTTTGGGAGGCTCTGCGTTGTCAGCTCAGTACAGGAAGTCAGGAGCTCAGCTGTCGATCTGTCAGATATCCGGTATTTTCCCGCGGATCTCGGGGTTCGCTTGCAGCACTCCAGAATGATCCTGCGTGCGTAACACGTAACGTGCGTTTATAAGGAATAATAAAAAGACCGTATTAGAGAAATGGCGTCCGCCGCGGTCTGATGGTCATACAGCGCTGACGCTGCCATTATGACGTTCCCTCTTCTTCCAGGACAATAAAGATCTGGAACTGGACATTGTCCCGGCCATCCTGACCGACCCGGAGGTCAAACTGCGAGACGCCAGCCATGAGACCAACGAGGAGAAAAGGAAGTCTGCCCGCAAAAAAGAGTGAGTGCGCCAGCGTCCCAAATTCCCTGAATTTTGGCGTTTTATGGATCGATGATTTTATCGATTTCCTTTTTTCTGAGGAATTATGCAAATATCAAAATGCCTTGATGGGTGGATGTCAGCCTGGAGGAGTGGGCGTCCCTAGGTGGGCTATATTTGCATAGGCAACACCCACATGTGAAGCTGAGCCTACGTGATTGAAAGAACTGATGAAAGGGGCGGGGCTAGGGAAGTCAGGTTGGGGAGGAAAGTACTAGATGACGCTGAATGTCCTCCAGCCAGGAAATGGGGCGGAGCTCTGACTTGCTGCAGCTTCTAATGCACATTGTGAGAAGATCAGAAGACTGGAGGGGAGGAGCCGGTACACCTGTGCAAGACTGAAGGGGAGGAGCCGGTACACCTGTGCAAGACTGAAGGGGAGGAGCCGGTACACCTGTGCAAGACTGAAGGGGAGGAGCCGGTACACCTGTGCAAGACTGAAGGGGAGGAGCCGGTACACCCTGTGCAAGACTGAAGGGGAGGAGCCGGTACACCTGTGCAAGACTGAAGGGGAGGAGCCGGTACACCTGTGCAAGACTGAAGGGGAGGAGCCGGTACACCTGTGCAAGACTGAAGGGGAGGAGCCGGTACACCTGTGCAAGACTGAAGGGGAGGAGCCGGTACACCTGCAAGACTGAAGGGGAGGAGCCGGTACACCTGTGCAAGACTGAAGGGGAGGAGCCGGTACACCTGTGCAAGACTGAAGGGGAGGAGCCGGTACACCTGTGCAAGACTGAAGGGGAGGAGCTTCACACCTGTGTAAGACTGAGGGGGAGGAGCCGGTACTTCTGTGGAAGACTGAAGGGGAGGAGCTTCACACCTGTGGAAGACTGAAGGGGAGGAGCCGGTACACCTGTGCAAGACTGAAGAGGGGGAGCCTGTACACCTGTGTAAGACTGAAGGGGAGGAGCCGGTACACCTGTGCAAGACTGGAGGGGAGGAGCTGGTACACCTGTGCAAGACTGGAGGGGAGGAGCCGGTACACCTGTGCAAGACTGAAGGGGAGGAGCCGGTACACCTGTGCAAGACTGAAGGGGAGGAGCCGGTACACCTGTGCAAGACTGAAGGGGAGGAGCCGGTACACCTGTGCAAGACTGAAGGGGAGGAGCCGGTACACCTGTGCAAGACTGAAGGGGAGGAGCCGGTACACCTGTGCAAGACTGAAGGGGAGGAGCCGGTACACCTGTGCAAGACTGAAGGGGAGGAGCCGGTACACCTGTGCAAGACTGAAGGGGAGGAGCCGGTACACCTGTGCAAGACTGAAGGGGAGGAGCTTCACACCTGTGTAAGACTGAGGGGGAGGAGCCGGTACTTCTGTGGAAGACTGAAGGGGAGGAGCTTCACACCTGTGGAAGACTGGAGGGGAGGAGCCGGTACACCTGTGCAAGACTGGAGGGGAGGAGCCTGTACACCTGTGTAAGACTGAAGGGGAGGAGCCGGTACACCTGTGCAAGACTGGAGGGGAGGAGCCGGTACACCTGTGCAAGACTGGAGGGAGGATATAAGAGTGGAGGGGGGAGGGGGATGGAAGTTCGGTATTTATAACATGGATCAGGTCACGTGTGTTTTGCGAGAATTGGTCATACCGTTGGTGTGAGGTCTCTATGTGCCTCACACCTCTCACTGTAGAGCGCCTTCTCTCTCCAGGTTCATCATGGCGGAGCTCCTACAGACGGAGAAGGCGTACGTCCGAGATCTGCACGAGTGTATGGAGGTGAGTCCCACCTGTGGTCACCTGGAGATTATTCGGGGCCTCAACCTCCCCCCCCCCCCCCCCCACCACGGGGTCACTACCTGTTTCTTCCCTTCTCTTGCAGACCTACCTGTGGGAGATGACGAGCGGCGTGGAGGAGATTCCTCCGGGAATCCTCAATAAAGAACACATCATCTTCGGGAACATCCAGGAAATCTACGACTTTCACAATAAGTACGTCATGTCTGATGGGCAATGTGGGGGGGGGGGGGGGGGGCTCCTTCCGTGGGCTCAGGGCAGAGGTCATGGGGACGACCCCCCGATATATATCAATGAGAAGCAGTTGTCATACATCGATTATTATCGCACCTCAAGAGCCTGTCAGGTGTTCTAGATGACTTTTTAGGAAATAATCGCAGCCAGTAACTACAAATCCCGGACATGTCCCAATATACAGGATCAGGGAAGCTCCGCCTTTTATTATTGAAATGCCATTCTGACGCTCCAGTCAGTGACTGTGCCTAGGCTGAGATGATGTCATCAGTCTGCTGCAGGATGGAGGAGTCATTTCCTCAGTCTCTGCTCCCCCAGTGATCAGACTGTACATTGTAACTTTGTAGGAGGAGGAGGAGTCTTTTCCTCAGTCTCCCCTCCCCCAGTGATCAGACTGTACATTGTAACTTTGTAGGAGGAGGAGGAGTCATTTCTTCAGTCTCCCCTCCCCCAGTGATCAGACTGTACATTGTAACTTTGTAGAAGGAGTAGAATTGCTGCTGTATGGTGACTTGAGTAGTGATCAACAAAGGCACTGTGAAATTTTTGCTGAAGTGGATTATGAATTGTAACGTTAGAATTATTTTCCAATCCGTTCGAAATTTCGAATTCAGTTGAATTCGAATAAATGAAATGAAGTGCAAAAAAGAATGTAACGAATCGAATGAAACAAATTTTTCCATTTGGACATGTCTGCTAGGCACCCGACCTAACCTCCTAGTACATAGCTCCTCCCATGCAGACCTGACCACCTAGTACATAGCTCCTCCCATACAGACCTGACCTAGTACATAGCTCCTCCCATGCAGACCTGACATAGTACATAGCTCCTCCCACGCAGACCTGACAACCTAGTACATAGCTCCTCCCACGCAGACCTGACGACCTAGTACATAGCTCCTCCCACGCAGACCTGACGACCTAGTACATAGCTCCTCCCACACAGACCTCACCTAGTACATAGCTCCTCCCACGCAGACCTGACCTCCTAGTACATAGCTCCTCCCACGCAGACCTGACCTCCTAGTACATAGCTCCTCCTACGCAGACTTGACCTCCTAGTAGTACAGAGACCTCCTAGTACATAGCTCCTCCTACGCAGACCTGACCTCCTAGTACATAGCTCCTCCCACTCAGACCTGACAGTACATAGCTCCTCCCACGCAGACCTGACCTAGTACATAGCTCCGCCCTGACTCCTCCCACGCAGACCGACCTCTTAGTACATAGCTCCTCCCACGCAGACCTGACCTCTTAGTACATAGCTCCTCCCACGCCACCGCCTCTTAGTACCTGACGCTCCGGCTCCCCCACGCAGACCGGACCTCTTAGTACATGGCTCCTCCCACGCAGACCGGACCTCTTAGTACATGGCTCCTCCCACGCAGACCGGACCTCTTAGTACCGGCTCCTCCCACCTCTTAGTACACGGCTCCTCCCACGGCTCTTAGTACTCCCACGCAGACCGGACCTCTTAGTACACGGCTCCTCCCACGCAGACCGGACCTCTTAGTACACGGCTCCTCCCACGCAGACCGGACCTCTTAGTACACGGCTCCTCCCACGCAGACCGGACCTCTTAGTACACGGCTCCTCCCACGCAGACGGACCTCTTAGTACACGGCTCCTCCCACGCAGACCGGACCTCTTAGTACACGGCTCCTCCCACGCAGACCCTCTTAGTACACGGCTCCTCCCACGCAGACGTGACCTCTTAGTACACGGCTCCTCCCACGCAGGACGTGACCTCTTAGTACACGGCTCCTCCCACGCAGACCGGACCTCTTAGTACACGGCTCCTCCCACGCAGACCGGACCTCTTAGTACACGGCTCCTCCCACGCAGACCGGACCTCTTAGTACACGGCTCCTCCCACGCAGACCGGACCTCTTAGTACACGGCTCCTCCCACGCAGACCGGACCTCTTAGTACACGGCTCTTCCCACGCAGACCGGACCTCTTAGTACACGGCTCCTCCCACGCAGACCGGACCTCTTAGTACACGGCTCCTCCCACGCAGACCGGACCTCTTAGTACACGGCTCCTCCCACGCAGACCGGACCTCTTAGTACACGGCTCCTCCCACGCAGACCGGACCTCTTAGTACACGGCTCCTCCCACGCAGACCGGACCTCTTAGTACACGGCTCCTCCCACGCAGACCGGACCTCTTAGTACACGGCTCCTCCCACGCAGACCGGACCTCTTAGTACACGGCTCCTCCCACGCAGACCGGACCTCTTAGTACACGGCTCCTCCCACGCAGACCGGACCTCTTAGTACACGGCTCCTCCCACGCAGACCGGACCTCTTAGTACACGGCTCCTCCCACGCAGACCGGACCTCTTAGTACACGGCTCCTCCCACGCAGACCGGACCTCTTAGTACACGGCTCCTCCCACGCAGACCGGACCTCTTAGTACACGGCTCCTCCCACGCAGACCGGACCTCTTAGTACACGGCTCCTCCCACGCAGACGGACCTCTTAGTACAACGGCTCCTCCCACGCAGACGACCCTCTTAGTACACGGCTCCTCCCACGCAGACGTGACCTCTTAGTACACGGCTCCTCCCACGCAGACGTGACCTCTTAGTACACGGCTCCTCCCACGCAGACGTGACCTCTTAGTACACGGCTCCTCCCACGCAGACGTGACCTCTTAGTACACGGCTCCTCCCACGCAGACGTGACCCTCTTAGTACACGGCTCCTCCCACGCAGACGTGACCTCTTAGTACACGGCTCCTCCCACATAGTACACGACCTCCCATCCCCCGCAGACGTGACCTCATAGTACACGGCTCCTCCCCCACCTCTTAGTACCACGGATTCCTCCCACGACGTGACCTCATAGTACACGGCTCCTCCCCCGCAGACGTGACCTCATAGTACACGGCTCCTCCCCCGCAGACCCGACCTCATAGTACACGGCTCCTCCCCCGCAGACCCGACCTCATAGTACACGGCTCCTCCCCCGCAGACGTGACCCGACCTCATAGTACCTCATAGTACACGGCTCCTCCCCCGCAGACCCCGACCTCATAGTACACGGCTCCTCCCCCGCAGACCCGACCTCATAGTACACGGCTCCTCCCCCGCAGACCCGACCTCATAGTACACGGCTCCTCCCCCGCAGACCCGACCTCATAGTACACGGCTCCTCCCCCGCAGACCCGACCTCATAGTACACGGCTCCTCCCCCGCAGACCCGACCTCATAGTACACGGCTCCTCCCCCGCAGACCCGACCTCATAGTACACGGCTCCTCCCCCGCAGACCCGACCTCATAGTACACGGCTCCTCCCCCGCAGACCCGACCTCATAGTACACGGCTCCTCCCACGCAGACCCGACCTCATAGTACACGGCTCCTCCCACGCAGACCCGACCTCATAGTACACGGCTCCTCCCACGCAGACCGACCTCATAGTACACGGCTCCTCCCCTGCAGACCCGACCTCATAGTACACGGCTCCTCCCCTGCAGACCCGACCTCCTAGTACACAGCTCCTCCCACGCAGACCCGACCTCCTAGTACACAGCTCCTCCCACGCAGACCCGACCTCCTAGTACACAGCTCCTCCCACGCAGACCCGACCTCCTAGTACATAGCTCCTCCCACGCAGACCCGACCTCCTAGTACATAGCTCCTCCCACGCAGACCCGACCTCCTAGTACATAGCTCCTCCCACGCAGACCTGTCCTCACTAGTACATAACTCCTCCCACACAGACTTTACCTCTTAGTAACTAGCTCCTCCCATGCAGACCTGACTTCCTAGTACATAGATCCTCCCACGTAGACCTGACCTAGTACATAGCTCCTCCCATACAGACCTGACCTCCTAGCACATAGCTCCGCACATGTGACCTCATAGTACATAGCTCCTCCCCCACATACCCGACCTCATAGTACATAGCTCCTCCCATGCAGACCCAACCCATAATCCTCTCTGTTCCTGTGCAGCATCTTCTTGAAGGAGCTGGAGAAGTACGAGCAACTTCCGAGGACGTCGGACATTGTTTCGTCACTTGGGTAGGTGAAGAGCGACTTACAGATCGACTTTTATATAAACTTTAACGATAACTTCAACGCTGTTGATCCTGCCAGAAATCCAGAGCTGTCCTGTATTCTGCAGTGTTATAAGCCGTGGACTACAAAACACCTCCTCCTATGTAAAGCCTCTTCTGCCTTGCAGTGGATTGCTTTTCAGAGACCGTTGCAGCGTAAATCTAGTTATATGGAGATGAAAAGAAGGGAGGTGTTCTGTAGTCCCAGGACTTTTCTTGTCCAATGGTAACAATGCTCCTCCTCCGTAGATACAGTACAGTGAATTAGTGGTGTTCCTCCCCCTTCCCCCAGGACAGGAAGTGTATTAATGGCAGGATCACCAAGTGTAAATAAAGTGAAACAAATGCCTGAAAAAAGAAAACAAATGCAGCCAACAAATCTAAGGACTGCGGAGCTGCAGTACAGCCAAAGTACTAAAATCCTTTTCAGCCAATGAGGGACGCAGGAAGCCATATACCACTGAGTTATACTGCCACCTACTGGAGGACTGGACACAATAGTTGTAGGGCGGCTCAGGATTCTGCTCCTCCCCCCATCCCCCTCCCCTCAGTCCTCCATCTTTTATCCTCTCCACCCCCCCCCCCCAGTCCTCCATCTTTTATCCTCTTCCCCCCCCCCCAGTCCTCCATCTTTTATCCTCTCCCTGTACATTCAAAACCCCCCCCCCCCCCAGTCCTCCATCTTTTATCCTCTCCCTGTACATTCGATGCCCCCCCCCCTCCAGTCCTCCATCTTTTATCTCTCCCTGTCCATCTGATGCTCCCCCCCCCCCCCCCCCCCAGTCCTCCATCTTTTATCCTCTCTCCTCCCCCCCCCCCCCCCCCAGTCCTCCATCTTTTATCCTCTCCCCCCCCCCCCCCCCCCCAGTCCTCCATCTTTTATCCTCTCCCCCCCCCCAGTCCTCCATCTTTTATCCTCTCCCCCCCCCCCCAGTCCTCCATCTCTTATCCTCTCCCTGTACATTCGATGCCCCCCCCCCCCCCCCCCCAGTCCTCCATCTTTTATCCTCTCCCACCCACCCCCCCCAGTCCTCCATCTTTTATCCTCTCCCCCCCCCCCCCCCCCAGTCCTCCATCTTTTATCCTCTCCCTGTACATTCAATGCCCCCCCCCCCCCAGTCCTCCATCTTTTATCCTCTCCCCCCAGTACATTTGATGCCCCCCCCCCCCCAGTCCTCCATATTCTATCCCCTCCCTGTACATTTGATGCCCCCCCCCCCCCCAGTCCTCCATATTTTATCCCTTCCCTGTACATTCGATGCCCCCAGCCCCCCCCACAGTCTTCCATTTTTTATCCCCATCCCTGTACATTCGATGCCCCCCGCCCCCCCCCCCCCAGTCCTCCATATTTTATCCCCTCCCTGTACATTTGATGCCCCCCCCCCCCAGTCCTCCATATTTTATCCCCTCCCTGTACATTTGATGCCCCCCGCCCCCCCCAGTCTTCCATCTTTTATCCTCTCCCTGTACATTCGATGCCCCCCCCGCCCCCCCCCACAGTCCTCCATCTTTTATCCTCTCTCCCACCCTCCCCCCAGTCCTCCATCTTTATCCTCTCTCCCACCCCCCCCCAGTCCTCCATCTTTTATCTTCTCTCCATCCCCCCCCCAGTCCCCTCCATCTTTTATCCTCTCCCCCCCCCCCCCCAGTCCTCCATCTTTTATCCCTCCCTGTACATTTGATGCCCCCCCCCCCCTTTCCATATTCCTATCCCCTCCCTGTACATTTTATGCCCCCCCCCCCCAGTCCTCCATATTTTATCCCCTCCCTGTACATTCGATGCCCCCCAGCCCCCCCCACCAGTCTTCCATATTTTAACCCTCTCCCTGTACATTTGATGCCCCCCCCCCCAGTCCTCCATATTTTATCCCCTCCCTGTACATTTGATGCCCCCCCCCCCCCCCAGTCTTCCATCTTTTATCCTCTCCCTGTACATTCGATGCCCCCCCCCCCCCCATGTCCTCCATCTTTTATCCTCTCTCTCCCACCCTCCCCCAGTCCTCCATCTTTTATCCTCTCTCCCACCCCCCCCCCCCCCAGTCCTCCATCTTTTATCCTCTCTCCCACCCCCCCCCCCAGTCCTCCATCTTTTAATCCTCTCTCCCACCCCCCCCCCAGTCCTCCATCTTTTATCCTCTCCCCCCCCCCCCCCCCAGTCCTCCATCTTTTATCCTCTCCCTGTACATTTGATGCCCCCCCCCAGTCCTCCATATTTTATCCCCTCCCTGTACATTTCGATGATGCCCCCCCCCCCCCCAGTCCCCTCCATATTTTATCCCCACCCTGTACATTCGATGCCCCCAGCCCCCCCCCCCCCCCCCCCCCAGTCTTCCATCTTTTATCCCTCCCTGTACATTCGATACCCCCCCCCCCCCCCAGTCTTCCATCTTTTATCCTCTCCCTGTACATTTGATGCCCCCCCCCCCCAGTCCTCCATATTTTATCCCCTCCCTGTACATTTGATGCCCCCCGCCCCCCAGTCTTCCATCTTTTATTCTCTCCCTGTACATTTGCTGCCCCCCCCCAGTCCTCCATATTTTATCCCCTCCCGCTGTACATTTGATGCCCCCCCCCCCAGTCCTCCATATTTTATCCCCTCCCTGTACATTTGATGCCCCCCCCCCCAGTCCTCCATATTTTATATCCCTCCCTGTACATTTGATGCCCCCCCCCAGTCCTCCATATTTTATTCTCTCCTTGTACATTTGATGCCCCCCCCCCCTAGTCCTCCATCTTTTATCCTCTCCCTGTACATTCGATGCCCCCCCCCCCGTCCTCCATCTTTTATCCTTTCCCTGTACATTTGATGCCCCCCTCCCCGAGTCCTCCATATTTTATCCCCTCCCTGTACATTCTATGCCCCCCCCACCCCCCCCCCCAGTCTTCCATCTTTTATCCTCTCCCTGTACATTTGTTTACCCCCCCCCCCCCCCCCAGTCCTCCATCTTTTATCCTCTCCCTGTACATTTGATTACCCCCCCCCCCCAGTCCTCCATCTTTTATCCCTCTCCCTGTACATTTGATGCCCCCCCAGTCCTCCATCTTTTATCCCCTCCCTGTACATTCGATTACCCCCCCCCCCCCCCCGTCCTCCATCCCCTGACGTCTCATTCCCTCTTTGTAGGCCGATAAGTTTCCAGATGTATGTCACGTACTGTAAGAACAAGCCGGACTCCAGCCAGCTGATCCTGGAGCACGCCGGGACCTTCTTTGATGTAAGTGTTGCCGTCATGTGATGGCTGAGGAGTGCGTTGTCGCCAATCCCCAATCCGACCGCCTGCTCTCTGCTTTACAGGAGATACAACAGCGGCACGGACTGGCCAATTCCATCTCCTCGTATCTCATCAAACCCGTGCAGAGGATCACCAAGTATCAGCTCCTTCTCAAGGTACGGGGGGGGGAGGGGGACTGTCAGACCTGCGGGGCGTCATGCAGAGCCGTGCGGGTCTAAATTATAGAGGGCCCCCGGTGTGGTCCCCGCAATCGCAGCGCCTTTTCATGCTTTGAGGTGCATATGCATCGAGTTGGATGTGCAAAGTGCACCATCTATTTGCCCACAACGTCTATTTGCTCACAACCCCACCATTTGTTTGCCCACCCCATTAGTGTGCTAAACTAAGGCAAATAGACGGTGCACTTTGCAAAGTGCAGTTGCTCCAGAGCTTAGTAAATGATGTGATTGGATGATGGAAGTCAGCAGAGCTTCTGCTCATTCACTTCACTTTTACTTCACTTTGCACCGTCTATTTGCCCTTAGTAAATCACCCTCTTAGTGTGCTAAACCTAAGGCAAATAGGACAGTGCAGTTGCTCCAGAGCTTAATAAATGATGTATAGCTTCACTTTGCAAAAAATACCCAATCACATGCAAGGAAAATAAAAAAAAAAACAAAAAAGCTTTTGCTTGCACGTGATTGGATGATGGAAGTCAGCAGAGCTTCTGCTCATTTACTAAGCTCTGGAGCAACTGCCCTTTTGCAAAGTGCATCATCTTACAGTTGCAAGAAAAAGTATGTGAACCCCTTGGGATTACGTGGAGTTTTGCATGAATTGGGCATAAAATGTGCTCTGAACGTCATCTAAGTCACAACAATAGAAGAACACAGTCTGCTGAACATAATACTACACAAACATTAGATGTTGCCATGGTTTTAATTGCACATAACATGTAAACATTCACAGTGCAGGGAGGAAATTAAAAAGTATGTGAGGCCCTAGCTTAATGACTTCTCCCAGAGCTAATTGGAGCCAAGAGTGAGCCAACCTTGACTCCAATCAGTATGATGATATTGAATGTGTTGCTGACAGCTGTCCTGCCCTTAAAAAACACACACCTGTTTTGGGTTTACTGGTTTCAAGAAGCACTGTCTGATGTGAACCATGCCTCGCAGAAAAGAGCTCTCAGAAGACCTACGATCAAGACTTGTTGACTTGCATGAAGCTGGAAAGGGTTACAAAAGTATCTCCTTGAGCCTTGATGTTCCCGTGTCCACGGTAAGACAGACTGTCTACAAATGGAGAAAGTTTAGCACTGTTGCTACTCTCCCTAGGCGTGGTCATCCTGTAAAAATGACTGCAAGAGCACAGCGCAGAATGCTGCATGAGGTAAAGAAGAATCCCAGAGTGTCAGCTAAAGACCTACAGAAATCTCTGGCACATGCTAACATTTTTTTGACACATCTACAATAAGGAAAACATTAAACCAGAATGGAGTACATGGGAGGACACCACGAGGAAGCCATTGCTGTCCAAAAGGAATATTGCAGCACGTTTGAAGTTTGCAAAAGAGCACCTGGATGTTCCACAGCACTACTGGCAAAATATACTGTGGACAGATGACACCAAGATTGAGTTGTTTGGGAAGAACACACAACACTATGTGTGGAGAAAAAAAAGGCACAGCACACCAACATCAAAACCTCATCCCCACTGTGAAACATGGCGGAGGGAGCATCATGGTTTGGGGCTGCTTTGCTGCCTCAGGGCTGGACGGATTGTTGTCATTGATGGGAAAATGAATTCCAGAGTTTATCAAGACATTTTGCAGGAAAACGACGACCATCTGTCTGCCAACTGAAGCTCCGCAGAGGATGGGTGATGCAACAGGACAATGACCCAAAGCATACAAGTAATTCAACAAAACAATGGCTGCAACAGCACAGAATACGCCTTCTGGAGTGGCCCAGTCAGAGTCCTGACCTCAACCCGATTGAAATGCTGTGGCATGACCTTAAGAGAGCGATTCACACCAGACATCCCAAGAATATTGCTACACTGAAACAGTTTTGTGAAGAGGAGTGGTCCAAAATGACTCCAGATCGTTGTGCAGGTCTGATCTGCAACTACAGGAAATGTTTGATTGAGGTTATTGCTGCCAAAGGAGGGTCAACCAGTTATTAAGTCCAAAGGTTCACATACTTTTTCCTCCCTGCACTGTGAATGTTTACATGTTATGTGCAATTAAACCATGGCAACATCTAATGTTTGTGTAGTATTATGTTCAACAGACTGTATTCTTCTATTGTTGTGACTTAAATGACGTTCAGAGCACATTTTATGCCCAATTCATGCAAAACTCCACGTAATCCCAAGGGGTTCACATACTTTTTCTTGCAACTGTATTTTGCCTTTTGTAAATCAGCCCCATATGCAGGGCCATAGACGAGTCGAAAACCGGCCGTTTTTTTAAAAAAAAAAAAAAAATGAAAAATCGGTCATTCAATAGGCCGACGTTACCACCAATGGTAATTAAATCGGCCGATTTTTGTCCCGTCTACGGCCGGCATTTAATTACTTCTGTCCCTGCAGAGAGCTCCGCTATTATATTTTACATGAAAAGTCTTGCGGTTGCAACAATGTATCTATTTGTATCCATTTCGGATACAGATGTTTTTATTCGGATACAAATAGATACATTGTTGCAACCGCAAGACTTTTCATATAAAATATAATAGTGCACTGGAATTCTTTTTCTTCTTGCAGGTAACGGCTCATGCGCAGATTTTTTATCGGTAAAAAGATTGTCCGATTTGCCCATCATTGCCATGAAAATCAGCAAATTCGACCGATTTTTTTTTCCAATTTCATCGATAAAAAAAAATGTGTCAAAATCCCGAAAAACGTCCGACCAATTAACCCACTAACTGTGCGAAAAGCGGGCAATTTTTTTTTTCAGCCAAACAATTGGCTGATTTTCGTCCCGTCTATGGCCTGCATTAGTGTGCTAAACCGATCTGCCATCCAGGGCTACCGTTCTGATGTAACTATGAAGTCTAAAGCTGCATTTGCCTGAAGCTTCTTCAGATCCTCCACAGCCAGCGATGGCTCCACCCTGAGTTACCGTAGGGGTGGAGCAGCCATTGAGACCAGCGCCCCCCAGTGCCAGGGGAGGGAGTGCTGTCCTGTTCTTTTAGGCTGCACATGCGCAACGTAATGTTTCTGCTGTCGCCTGTGATGAGCTCAGGGGCTGCAACATGAGGTAGTGCACACTGCGCATGTACCGGACGGCACTCCCTCCCTTGTCATTGGGTGGTGCAGGTCCCAGCTGACATGTGCAGTGAGTTGGCAGGAGTACAAAATGTAACAAATTGTAGTTCTTGTTGAACCGTTGTCACACGGACACACAGCGGCTCTTCTGTCTGCCCTCCCATTGGCCGCGAGGGGTTGGTCTGGTTGACTGTATTTATTGGAAGCGGCATCGTATGTACAGAACGCAGGACGCCGAGCTTCACTTCCCCCCGTAAATATTTATACGTCCCTCCGACTGCGTGTTCCTGGGTGTCTATGCCTGGCATGGGGGGGAGGGGATTATAGAATTCCAACTTCTCATACCTGGAATAACAGGAACTCTGTCCTGCAGGAGCTGCTGACGTGCTGCGAGGAAGGGAAGGGCGAGATAAAGGACGGCCTGGAAGTAATGCTCAGTGTGCCAAAGAGAGCCAACGACGCCATGCATGTCAGCATGCTGGAAGGTGAGCGAGCCGATGCAATCCGACCCAGAACAATGTATCATTAATGTGCAGAACTTACAATTTTTCAAGACAAGCTTTCGGGGTGTACCCCCTTCTTCCAAGCATACTCTGAGGAAGGGGGAGCACCCCGAAAGCTTGTCCTGAAAAACTGTATATGGGTGCAACTAAAAAAAAAAGTATCACGGACATTTCTCAATTGTCTCTGTCACAAGTCCACTAATACGGCTCCAATCACCTCGAGCATTAATATTCATAAAATCCGAGCAGAGGAAGGATCTGCTGGAAGCTTGTGGGCCCGGATGCAAAAGTTGTGCCCTACCGACCCCCCCCCCCCCCCCCCTCACTACCACCCACGGCGTCCACCGCACGCCAAGATGGTGAAAGTGGTGCTCTTGTATGTAAAAGAGGAACCCAGAGGGCCCAAGGTGGGTGGGCGGGTCCTCTGACTTCCAGATTCATATACAAGCCCACCACTTTCACCCTGCAGCTAAGAGCGTGGCCTGCCCCCACGTGGCCTACCTGCCCCCATGTGGCCTGCCTTCCCCCACCTTATGTGCGCATGCACGATTGAGCAGGGCGGGGAGGGGCTGTACTGGACTGGGCAGGGGGGAAAGCTACTAGGGGAAAGGGCTTATCCCGTCACCCTGTGTAGATGACACCAGAAACTCCGAGAGTGTGCCGGCCCGGGCCCCTCTGAGTTTACTGAATTACTTACGCAGAGTGACCCAGCAAGCAATTTTCACAGTGGACAGACAGGAAGGCTGTAAGGGCCCCCTGGAGCACGGGCAACCCCATCCGTGCTCCAGGGGGCCATTGCGACCCCTGGAGCACCAGCCCACGACTTAGAGAGGATTAATACTTTGTTACATTTTTATCGAGCGGTACAAAGAGAGAAACAAAGTATACGTAAAGACACATCGAGATTCATTGGCAAGGATTTCACTTCCCATCGTGAAAATAAATTTACAAACTGATTCAGCGTACTGCATGTAAGTAGAAGTGTCCACGCAATTACAATCTGATTGTACAATCAACTTTGGCTCTGACAGTAGCCCTGTAGTGCGAGGAACTCCCTGAGTGGATATTGGTGGAAGAGAATTTTCAATAATTCTTCATGCTGCAGAACGAATTGTAAATCTAAAGAAGAAATTTGCAATTAGATTGTAACTTGTATGAACAAATTATCAGCCATACTCTCAAAATATATTCTAAAGGGGAGTTCCGCTCGCGCTGTCAAAAAATAAAAGTCAGCAGCTACAAAAACTGTACAAAAACTGTAGCTGCTGACTTTTAAAAAACAGCCACTTACCTGTCCCTCGGTCCCACGGTGTGCCCCCCGCAGCCCTTTTCATTGGGCCGTCCTTCATTCCAGGAGGCCGGCATCTTCAGTGTGGGCACCCGGCTGTGACTGCTTGCAGCTTCACAGCCGGGTACCCACTGCGCATGCGCGAGTAGTGCTGCGCTTCATGAATGGTCCTGTAGTCTTCTGGGACCTGTCATGTGTCCCAAAAGACTACAGGGAGAGAGGGAGGACACCTTCCAATCGCCTAGGCTAGGGGTGGGCAACTGTGGCCCTCCAGCTGTTGTAGAACTACAAGTCCCATGAGGCATTGCAAAACTGACAGTTACAAGCATGTCTCCCAAAGGCAGAGGCATGATGGGACTTGTATTTCACCAACCACTGGAGGGCCACAGTTGCCAACCCCTGGCCTAGGCGATCGGACCGGAAGTAGGAGCGGGTACCTGTCAAATTTGGGTACCCGCTCCCCCCGCCCCCCAAAGGTGCCAATCCTTAATGGGGAGTGGGGGAGCAGTCCTTAAAGCGGAACTTCCCCTTTTGGGTGGAGCTCCGCTTTAAATAAACCCCCTGAAATGTACGTTCACCAGTCTGTAGGCCCTTTCTGAGCAGAATATTAAGGGTATTGGTGGAATTTTGACCACACCCATGAGGAGCCAGAGGAAGTATCAATCTCTGGTAAAGTCTTGGTCAGTATTCTGGGTGATGGGCACATTTGCAGACATTTACAGTCCAGATTGTACCAGAAATATAAACAATTGTGACAGAAGTACAAACCTAACAATTGAAGTATCACCTTCTCTACGAATATGTTCTGTGTAATATATGATTTGTGTTTCAGCAAAGTGTAGGTGGAGATTTCCATCAAGGCAGGATTCCTGGTGACTCAGTCTTCTTCTTTTTTTTTTTCTTCCAGGGTTTGATGAAAACTTGGACGTTCAGGGTGAGCTGATTCTGCAGGATTCCTTCCAAGTCTGGGATCCCAAATCTCTGATCCGCAAGGGGCGGGACCGACACCTTTTCCTGTTCGAGATCTCTCTAGTGTTCAGCAAGGAGATAAAAGACTCTGCAGGACACACAAAATATGTTTACAAAAACAAGCTGCTGGTACGTCCTGGTTTGTGTACATTGCGACGGACTAAACGTACGCCGGTCTGAGGACCACAATGCTGGCTTCTTGTTCTGATAGATCAGAACTATAGATCACCCATTCTCAGCCAGGGATTTGGGGAACAATTGGGCTGCTCTGGAGGTTGCTGAGGGTTCCTTGAGTAGGCAGCAGTGGCAGTTGACCTTGTGCGTTATGGTACCTACATAGTCCTGGGTCCTAGGACACCAGTCATTGGTGTGGAATCTCTCCCCCCTTCCCTCTGATAACTAACCAATGACACCAGTTATCGTTTTATCTGTTTAGAATATTGACATTGTATCCAGTGACCACCAATTAAGGGCATTCTTCCAAATGACATCCAGCGGAAAGTGGCCCATTTCCTACTGATCTTCAGTGGAAGGCGGCCCATCTCCTACTGATCTTCAGTGGAAGGGGGCCATCTCCTACTGATCTTCAGTGGAAGGGGGCCCATCTCCTACTGATCTTCAGTGGAAGGGGGCCCATCTCCTACTGATCTTCAGTGGAAGGGGGCCCATCTCCTTCTGACCTTCAGTGGAAGGGGGCCCATCTCCTGCTGACCTTCAGTGGAAGGGGGCCCATCTCCTGCTGACCTTCAATGGAAGGGGGCCCATCTCCTGCTGACCTTCAATGGAAGGGGGCCCATCTCCTGCTGACCTTCAATGGAAGGGGGCCCATCTCTTACTGACCTCCAGTGAAAAGAGCCCATTTCTTACCTCCAATGGAAGGGTGGCCCATCTCCTACTGACCTCCAATAGAAGGGTGGCCCATCTCCTACTGACCTCCAATGGAAGGGTGGCCCATCTCCTACTGACCTCCAATAGAAGGGTGGCCCATCACCTACTGACCTCCAATGGATGGGTGGCCCATCTCCTACTGACCTCCAATGGATGGGTGGCCCATCTCCTACTGACCTCCAATAGAAGGGTGGCCCATCACCTACTGACCTCCAATGGAAGGGTGGCCCATCTCCTACTGACCTTCAATAGAAGGGAGGCCCATCTCCTACTGACCTCCAATGGAAGGGTGGCCCATCTCCTACTGACCTCCAATGGAAGGGTGGCCCATCTCCTACTGACCTCCAATAGAAGGGTGGCCCATCTCCTACTGACCTCCAATAGAAGGGTGGCCCATCTCCTACTGACCTCCAATAGAAGGGTGGCCCATCTCCTACTGACCTCCAATGGAAGGGTGGCCCATCTCCTACTGACCTCCAATGGAAGGGTGGCCCATCTCCTACTGACCTCCAATAGAAGGGTGGCCCATCACCTACTGACCTCCAATGGAAGGGTGGCCCATCTCCTACTGACCTCCAGTGAAAGGAGCCCATTTCTTACCTCCAATGGAAGGGGCCCATCTCCTTCTGACTTCCAGTGGAAGGGGCCCTACTCCTACTGACGTCCAGTGGAAGGGGCCCATCTCCTACTGACTTCCAATGGAAGGGGCCCTACTCCTACTGACTTCCAGTGGAAGGGGCCCATATCCTACTGACTTCCAGTGAAAGGGGCCCATCTCCTACTGACTTCCAGTGGAAGGGGCCCTACTCCTACTGACTTCCAGTGGAAGGAGCCCATCTCCTAACTTCTAGTGGAAGGGGCCCATTTCCTACTGGCTTCCAGTGGAAGGGGCCCATCTCCTACTGGCTTCCAGTGGAAGGGGCCCATCTCCTACTGGCTTCCAGTGGAAGGGGCCTATCACCTACTGACTTCCAGTGCAAGGGGCCCATCTCCTACTGACCTCCAATGGAAGGGGTCCATCTCCTACTGATTTCCAATGGAAGGGGCCTATTTCGTAGTGACATCCAGTGGAAGGGTGCAATACCATGACCACCAACATTATGGGGCTCTTCTCCACTCACCACCAGTGTAAGGGGAGGACATCTTCCAATGGGCTCAGGCATTCCCATAGGCTGCTTGATAAGCATCCCAACAGACATCTGAAGGCCATTCTTTCAACTAATATCTAATGAAAGGGGGCCCATCTCCTACTGCTCTCCAGTGGAAGGGTCGCCCTTCTACTGACCTCCAATAGAAGGGTGGCCCATCTCCTACTGACCTCCAATAGAAGGGTGGCCCATCTCCTACTGACCTCCAATGGAAGGGTGGCCCATCTCCTACTGACCTCCAATGGATGGGTGGCCCATCTCCTACTGACCTCCAATGGATGGGTGGCCCATCTCCTACTGACCTCCAATGGATGGGTGGCCCATCTCCTACTGACCTGCAATAGAAGGGTGGCCCATCACCTACTGACCTCCAATGGAAGGGTGGCCCATCTCCTACTGACCTCCAATAGAAGGGAGGCCCATCTACTACTGACCTCCAGTGGAAGGGTGGCCCATCTCCTACTGACCTCCAATGGAAGGGTGGCCCATCTCCTACTGACCTCCAATAGAAGGGTGGCCCATCTCCTACTGACCTCCAATAGAAGGGTGGCCCATCTCCTACTGACCTCCAATGGAAGGGTGGCCCATCTCCTACTGACCTCCAATGGATGGGTGGCCCATCTCCTACTGACCTCCAATAGAAGGGTGGCCCATCACCTACTGACCTCCAATGGAAGGGTGGCCCATCTCCTACTGACCTCCAATGGAAGGGTGGCCCATCTCCTACTGACCTCCAATGGAAGGGTGGCCCATCTCCTACTGACCTCCAATGGAAGGGTGGCCCATCTCCTACTGACCTCCAATAGAAGGGAGGCCCATCTACTACTGACCTCCAATGGAAGGGTGGCCCATCTCCTACTGACCTCCAATGGAAGGGTGGCCCATCTCCTACTGACCTCCAATGGAAGGGTGGCCCATCTCCTACTGACCTCCAATGGAAGGGTGGCCCATCTCCTACTGACCTCCAATAGAAGGGTGGCCCATCTCCTACTGACCTCCAATGGAAGGGTGGCCCATCTCCTACTGACCTCCAATGGAATGGTGGCCCATCTCCTACTGACCTCCAATGGAAGGGTGGCCCATCTCCTACTGACCTCCAATGGATGGGTGGCCCATCTCCTACTGACCTCCAATGGAAGGGTGGCCCATCTCCTACTGACCTCCAATGGATGGGTGGCCCATCTCCTACTGACCTCCAATGGATGGGTGGCCCATCTCCTACTGACCTCCAATGGAAGGGTGGCCAATCTCCTACTGACCTTCAATGGAAGGGTGGCCTATCTCCTACTTGCATCCAGTGGAAGGGGGACCATCTCCTATGGATATCCAGTGGAAGGGAGCCCATCTCCTACTGACTTCCAGTGGAAGGGACCCATCACCAACTGACATCCAGTGGAAGGGGTTCCATCTCATAGTGACCATGAGTGGAAGGGTGCAATACCATGACCACCAACATTAAGGGGCCCTTCTTCACTTACCACCAGTGTAAGGGGAGGACATCTTCCATTGGCCTCAGGTATGCCCATAGGCTGCTTGATAAGCATCCCAACATACACCTGAAGGGCACCCCCAGCAGGCTGACAATGTTGCTACTTACAAGGCTTGGCATAGTCAGCCTGCAGCAGGAAGTGCTGTTACTGGCATCTCGAGGTGAGAAACTTCACAACAAACAAATCCATAAGCGATTAAAGTGACTTCCAATGTACTGAAAAAATAGGTTTCGGTTTTACATACACTTTACAATGAACCCTTAACGCCCAACTTGTTTTAGATGGAGTGTGGAAGGGTTAAAGCATCTGTCAGGTTTTTTATCCCTGTCCTTGTGCCCATTTCACTTCCTTTTGGCACAGGAAATGGAGGGAAATCTCTCCGGTGGGGGAATGGACTGTCACAAATAAAACAGGAAGTGAGGTTAAATCTCCCCAGTAGGGTCTCAGCCAGTTATGAAAGTATGTAAAGTCTCTGTTGATGTTTTTTTGGGGGTAAAAAGTGTCGTGCATTCACATCCACCATCTCCTCTCTTCTCCAGACCTCCGAGTTGGGGGTGACGGAACATGTTGAAGGAGACCCCTGCAAGTTCGCCTTGTGGTCGGGCCGAACGCCGTCGTCTGATAACAGAACGGTGCTCAAGGTACTTTGCTCATTAAAGGAAATATATAGCAGATGGATGTCTTAATATTTTCCTATGGTATGGAATTGAAAAAACCTGTTTCAATGTAACTCTGAAATATTGCACTGGATAGTTTTGTAATCTCATTTTCAGCCAGTGGGTGGCACTCCAGGTTCCTTTCTTTGCCTGTTTGTCCCGATACAGGATATAAGCAGCTATGTTTTAATTTTCGTATGTGTTTTACTATTTACACGTTTATCCTGAAATGTCTGTAGTGTTTCTAATGGTGTGTGTGTGTGGTCTCGCAGAGGCGACTTCCACCAGATCTGATCAGGGATCTCCCAGCCACTTCCTCAGTTCTTGTGTGTTATACAGTATTAGTGACATATCACCAGAACCCGGCTGGCCTTCTGCCCAGAGAGGCTTCAGCTTGTAGTTCCTCTTGGGTGGGGCTTCTGCTGTATCTACAGAAAGATGATAATCCAGAGAGGAAGGTGAACCTTAGACATTCTGTCCAATGGTGTCCAGTAAAGAGGAATGTATATACAGGACAGGGTGCCTGCAGGAAGGGACAGGTGCTCTTGTAGGGTTCCTAGCCATATGAACAATTGGTCTGGTACTCTTGAAGGGTGCCATGTTGTAGACAGGAAGGGACAGGTCCTCTTGTAGGCTTCCAGGCTGTGTGTAGGAAGGGACAGGTCCTCTTGTAGGCTTCCAGGCTGTGTGTAGGAAGGAACAGGTCCTCTTGTAGGGTTCCTGACTGTGTTTGTGATGGGACAGGTCCTTTAGTAGGATTCCCGACTGTGTGTAAGAAGTGACAGGTACTCTTGTAGGGTTCCTACCTATATGAACAATTGGTCTGGTAATTTTGTAGGGTGCCATGTTGTAGACAGGAATGGACAGGTCCT